GAGTCATCAAGACTTCTACATTCCTTATTTTTCTCCTCTAGCTATTTGTTTTGATTATTTGTTAGGGATTTGCATCTCCCTGCTTACATTGATCATTTTCATACTTTCTACTTTATGCATTAGAACATTTAGCCTCTTTATCATACTTCTTTTAAAATCATGGGTCTGGTAATTTCTACATTTCTTGCCATGTCTGTTTGATACACTTGCTCTGTCTCTTCAAATTTTAAGGGCCTTTGTTGTTGTTGTTAGTTCTTTTTGCCTTCTGATTTTCCTGATGTCCTTGTTAGCCAGGCATGATATACTAGAAATAATCCTTTATTCCTATGGTGGTAAGTTTGGGGAAGGAGAAGTAGTCTATAGTCCTATGATTAGGTCTCAGTCTTATAAGTAAGCCTCTGTGCAGTGAACTTCACAAATATTTTTCAGTTATTTTTTTTTCCATTATATAGTAGAGCATGTGAATAGGGTGGGCTAGAGTTATGTGTCTTCCTTATACCCAGATCAGTTAGGCTCTGATAATACCCGACATGTTTAGGTTCTACTTAACCAGTTTCTTCTGAGGGCAGGCCTTGTTAAGAACAGAGTGTTCTTGCATGTATAAGGATGGTTCCTTTTCTCCTTCCCCAGCTAGCAGCAGACAGGGATTTTCTTTTTCTCTGATCCTGACTGTGGGAACCTAATCAAGCTCTCAGTGGTAAATTTCATAATATTTTGATGTCCTTCTATGAATGGGTCCTTCCGGAGTTTTAAGTCTGAGATTTGTCTGCATTGAGCCTCCAGCGATTCATCAATTACAGTTCATGTTTTTTTCTTCCCTGGCACTGATTCCTGTGGATGTTTCTGCTTGGGAGTCTCTGTTCCTGTAAGCACTGACTGTGTGTGTTCCCTTGTCTATTTCTCCATTCTTGAGGGAAGCAGTTTGGCCTGTCTCCTCCTCCCTCTTACAGATCCAGTAAGAGTTATTGATTTTGCAATCTGTTCAGCTGTTTACTTGTTGTTAGGACAAGGTCGTCCTTCCAAGCTCCTTACATACACAACGGGAAACCTATGTTCCCTTAATATTTCACATTAGTATATAACCTATTCTTTTTTCTTGTTTATTTATTGTTTTCAGTTGTTTTTGTTTTAGTGTTGAGGAATGTCACAAGGATTCTCTGGGGTTTGTGGTTGACTTTGCCTTTTATTTTTTTATTTTTTTTTTAATACACCATAGGCCCTATCAATCTACTGAAACACCATTCATTTCTTTCTCTTTTTCTCTTCCCCCTTTCCCCTCCCTCTCTCACACACTCCCTTTCTCATTGCATGAAAAATTTCTTACCCTAAAATCTTTTTTATGTCTATCTTTGTCATCTTTTTTTCTTATTCTTAAATATACATATTTTGTGCATTAAAATTTCATTTCAATGCCTGCCTTCCCTATACAATATTTAACACTTTCTCTGTGATTTCTGTATTTATTTATTGACTTCTGACAGTTTCTTAAATCCTGTCAAAAACAAAAATGTCGGCAGCTTAAATTTTAAAGGTACAAGTATATTTTATTAGCAATTATTGAACAGGGCGAAAGCCAGTCTACAAGAAAGATAAGGCTGAAGAAAAAGCAGAAAAAAATTAGATTGGTTGTCTCCAAGTTACTTTCCTTGAAATCTTATTGGCCCTAGGAGGTTTGGCTGTTACCTCCCTCCTGATTTTTTGGAAGGTCAGATGTTATAAGGGAATAGTGTAAGTTTTTATTTGGTGACATGGGACTTTAGCAAGAGTTCTCTATTCAAAATTGATCTGGGGGTATAGTGCAAAAGCTCAGTCCAAATCAGTAGATGCTCAAAAAATTTATTTAAAAATCCTATTCCATTTTATTAAATTTTGTCTTGCGTGACACATTATTGTGATGTTGTGAGTCTACATTTTGCTACTTTAAGTTTATAGAATGGTTTTTATATTTCAGAAGGTACAGAAGGTATTAATGATGTTTGATTTGTACTATTGGTTATTTAATTTTCTATTTTCTTTCCATATACTTACATTTTCATAGTTTTGTTTATATAATCTGTATTGAATTTCTTTTCGAAAGTTAAAATATTTTAATCTAATGTTCTCAAAATTTCTAGACAAATTATTATTGGAGGATTTTGGTGTCTTATGTCTTTCTCCTGTTTAGTGTGTGTGTGTGCGTGTGTATGTATGTGAGAGAAATAGAGAGAGAGAGAGAGAGAGAGAGAGAGAGAGAGAGAGAGAGAGAGAAAGAGAGATAGAGTGAGAGAATATTGTTTATATATAGGGCCTTTATTTATGAGCATCAATTTGCTTTTAATGAAGGTGGTTATATCCAGGCATGTTCTTTCTGTAATAAAACAGGTGTGTTTTTTATTAAATCCCATCTACATTTATGAAAATATTCTCTCAATTTTAAACCAAGAACTTGAGCAGGAAGGTGAACAGTTTTTTAATCAGTTATCTAATCCTTCAGTATTGGGGTTGTTGAGAAAAAAAAATTGGACGAATTAAAGTGAAGAAGCACCTAGAATAAATATGATACTTTTATGGTTTTCAGTGGTGCATGATAATTATACATAATAGTGTGATTTAATGTGACATATTCGTTTATGCACATAACATCATTTGATCAGTCTCATTCCCTAGTACCTCCACTGTCCCTTCCCTCTCTTCTTTCCCTAATCCTCTTCCCCTACTATACTGGTCTCCCACCTATTATTTTCTAATTAGTGCATTGTAATTATACATATCAATGGGATCCATTGTGGTATATTTGTACAGGGATATAGCATAAGTAGATTGATTTTGTTCCCCAGTACATACCCAGCTTTTCCTTCCTACCTCCATCTCCATCCCCTTCTACTCTATTGGTCTCCCTTCTATTTTTATGAGACTCTTTTCTATTTCTTTTTTCTCTTTCTCTAGCTTCAACATATGAGAGGCATTTGAGCTTGTATCCTTCTGTACCGCAGTACTAAATCTAGCTGTCAAATATGCTGAGTCCTGTGATTCTTTAATGAGGGAGGCTGTTCATGGGGACTCTGTAATAACTCCCACGTTTTAGCAATTAATTTTATTTAATTCATCCTGTTGGTTCTTCATAATATGATCTTGAATCTTTTCGAGAGCAAGAAACTTGCAATTGCTAAAATGTTTTCTTTTTACCTAAATTTATTTTTGAGGAAAGTATTTAGAAACTCAGATACAGCTGTCCTCTTTATAGTGTTGTTTGTGATTGTTGTTTTACTATTCTGAAGGGCCTGCTTCTTATGCTACTGTTTACTGCTTCACCATCTGAAAGCAGGAAGACCACCAATACAGGTCTAACGACTTAAACCAATGTAAAATATTAAAGGAATAGACGCTATGATACTGAGAACATTTAATATATAACCTACTTTGCCAGTTCCGAAACCAGATCTGAAGGGGTGGAGTGCTTTCTATATTCTTTCTTAGAATCTAGTCTCTTATATAGATCAATAAGAACAAATCCAGACTTTCCCCCTAGAGAATAAGATGAATCAATCAGAGACGATCGTAGCAACTCATTTTGTCAATCTCCACAGACTTGTGATGGAAGACAGTGTTAGGTAAACCAACCCATATCAGCACAATCACACAGCTGACTCGGGAGCAATAACACATACTGTTTTCTTTTACTTTTAAAGTTTCTTTTCTCTGTCTTGTTAATGTTGTTTCTACTTGGTATTTTTATGCTTTAATTTTTACTGATTATTTTTTTGCATTGTTTTTTATTTGTATGTTTATATTTTAATATTATTTTACTAATTTTGATTTTTTAATTATTTCTTTTCTAAGTCATGTGCCAGCTTTCTAATGTTTTGAAAAAAAAATCTGAGAAAATTAAGGAGGAAATATTACTTTGGATCATGGTTTCAGAGGATTTGGTCCATGGTCACTTAGTATAGTTGCTTTTAGACCTTGTGGCAAGTCAGAACATCTTAGTGGGAAGCACATAATAAACTAAAGCTCCACATTTCATGACAGTTGTGAAGTAAAGAGGGGAGAAAGACTCAGAGACAACATATAGCCTTCAAAGTCATATTTCACCTACTTTCCCCAAATAGACAGCATCTCCTATAATCCTACCATCTCTCAATGCCTAAATTTTACCAATTCATAAATGAATTAACAATCCATGAGGTCAGAGGGCTCATAATCCAATCATATCCCCAAGTCTCCAGCTCTGAACACTGCCACATTGGGGACCAAGCCTGCAACATGTGAGGTTATGGGGGACATTTCAGGTCCAATAAATATATATAGCTAACTGATACAGTCAAGAACTGTTTGAAAAACATCACATTATATAAGCAATTAACATTTTCATGAATTATAAATCAAACTAACTAGGGATATGTTTTAATACTGAGTATTTAAAAAGAATTGCACAACAATTATCAGTGTATCATTCCAGAAATAAATATCCAAAGAGTCAATGATATAAATAACCTAACACACCATGAATTTCCACCTGTTCTTTAAGTAGTGATTAATTGATTATATTTATTTGAAAAACAAAACTTCCTATTACTGTATAAAAATATAGATAAACATGATGGGAGCAGTTGAGTTGAAATATTTGAGCTTCAGATATAATTGGGGTTGTTGTAAGCAGTAATTTAAACTTTGACACCAAGAAGAAAATGACACATTATTCCCTTTGAGAAACTGAGGGTTTTCATATGATTCTTAGCATGGTGGAACAACATAATAACATTGGAATTCTATGTTTATACTTTCTTAGTTATGAACTTTACTGCAAGGCACTTACAAAAAGAAAAGAGAATAATAAGCATAATAATAGGAATGAGGTGATCCAAGGACAAGTTCATTTCTGCAACAATCAATCTGTGGGATTTGGCATGTCACATTGCTTAATCCAAGACTCAGTTTTCTCATTATGTTAAATTTTTCCAATGCTATCCTTTATAATCTAGGATGTCTTTGTATGAAAGTGATTTAACAATACACTCATATTGTCTTCAAAATCAGAAGTTTTATTCTCTCATATAACATGAAGTCCATGGGAAGAAAATATTTCAGATTGTATTTCTTCCTCCTATGAGTCTACTGACTCTTCTTTCCTCTATGTATTGGCTTCATTCTTATGTGGACAGTAAAATATCTCCAGCCATTTTGAATCGCATTCCACATATAATGCCTTCCAGAAAAAGGGAAAAGAGAGGGTATAATGTAAGCTCAGCACTCCAATCAAGCATCTTTAATCTTATTAAATCACTTTGGTTACATTCTACAACTGAACCAGTGATCTGGGCCAAAGTAATGCAATAGTTGAATGGTTGAAACCATCCAAGAATCACCTCTGGGATTCACTTCCTTGAGTAAAATTAGTTCTTTTCTAGAATAGAATTCCAGAGAGAATCCTTCATCCTAGGAGAACCTTGAAAGGCTCATGTTTGCTGACCCAGAATGGCCACAGTTTTTGGCTTATGTAATTAACACATTTTTGCAATAAAATATCTATGATAGACTTTGCTATGGAGTATTATGAATATAACCTTCATGTTTTGAAAAATGACTCAGTTTTAAAGGAGTTGTTAAATAATGGAAGAATATAATCAGTGGTTTTTATGTCACTATTTCCTTAGGATATAAAAATAAATGGCCTTTTCAAACTCTGACCAACTTTAATACTGGATTTTTCCATTCCTCCTTTTCTATAAAATGGCTTTGAAGAATAGACTTAAGAGATACATGTGAAGAAGAGGAGTAAAATTTGGAAAACAGACAAATAATGGAGAAAACTTTCTCTAATAGATTACACGTTTAAAGTGGAATCAATATTAGAGAAAAATAGAATTATAGAAATTCTTCTGTTTTTCTACCTTCTAGTCACTCTGTATATAATTATTTTAATTTGTACAGATTATGAATTTGAGAAACAGAGATCTCAAAATTTTCCCATTCACCCATGATTCTTGGAAATGTTATAAGTATATGATATACCACCCTTATTCTTGATCCTTTTTACACCATGTTTAAAATTTAACACAAAACAAGTATTATATATCTCAAAAATCTAGAAGTGGAGAAATTAATGTTTTTTCCCATTAAAATGGTAAATGTTTTAGGAAATAATAATGTTTAAATTAGTTTAAACATATCTAATATATATGAATATATATACAATTTGAATGTCTTATGTTTAAGTTTAAAATACATTTAATCTTTAAAATGAACAAAATAATCCATGTAAAAATTTTTAATGTTTTCTACCAAATTTGAAGTTTTAGGAATTTTTCTTCTTTCTGGAAGATATATGTTTTTATATTTTAAGAAAGAGTCATAGGCTCTTCAAGGTATGTTCTTGAAGGAAAAATTTTAAGCAACACATCCACCTAAATATTTCATAGGTAAAGACAGCTGCTTGATACAGTGCAACATAATGTAGTTGTATGTACACAAGGTCACTTTAATTGGCAATTTAAAAATCAATTTTCTGAAACTTTTAGTTTTAAAAAGATATATACAAAGCTCTGAAATGTTCTGTTGAAGGGAGTGGAATTCCAATGTTTTGCCACGTAAAAATAGATTTAGTATTTCAGAGTGTGTTCATAGCCCCTTCAATTCCTTCTACTATTATAGTCAAGACTTTTTCTTGTGAAGACTCTCTCTTGTTCCTCAATGCTTTAAAATATATAGTCTTGTGCCCCACCTATTGTCAATATCTATGCTCCTGTAACATGTATTTTCTTCATTAAACAGTTCATTCATTCAACAATGACATTTTAATTTTTTAAACAAAAAAAAAGTATGATTGCTAACCAAAAAATGGACAGTTAGGGAGACTTTGCATGAGACATACTAGAACTGAGAATGAAAAATGAATAGAAAAAAATGGATCAGAGACTGAAAGGGGCTTAGAAAATGAGTTAACTGATTGTATACAAAACATATTCACACCAAATTGTGTCTTTAAACATGTACCTTGGATAATAATGTCCATCATATTCAACCATCATTTCTACCCCATGCCCCCTCTCTTCCCCTCCCACCCCTCTGACCTATCTAGAGTTCATCTATTCCTCCCACAGTCCCCCTCCCTACCCCACTATGAATCAGCCTCCTTATATCAGAGAAAACATTCAGCATTTGGTTTTTTGGGATTGGTTAATTTTACTTTAGCATTATCTTTTCTAACTCTATCCATTTACCTGCAAATGCCAAGATTTTATTCTCTTTGATTGCTGAGTAATATTCCATTGTGTATATATGCCACATTTTTTTATCCATTTATCTATTGAAAGACATCTAGATTGGTTCCATGGTTCAGCTATTGTGAATTGTGCTGCTATAGATATTGGTGTGATGTCTCTGTAGTATGCTGTTTTTAAGTCCTTTGGGTATAGACCCAGGGGAAGTATAGCTGGGTCAAATGGTGGTTCCATTCCCAATTTTCCAAGAAATCTTTACACTGCTTTCCATATTGGCTATACCAATTTGCAGTCCCACCAGCAGTGTGCCTTTTTCCCTACATCCTCACCAACACTTATTGCTTATTGTCTTCATAATAGCTGCCATTCTGACTGGAGTGATAGGAAATCTTAGAGTAGTTTTGATGTGCATTTCTCTAATTGCTAGCGATGATGAACATTTTTTTATTATTTGTTGATTGATTGTATATCCTCTTCTGAGAAGTGTCTGTTCAGGTCCTTGGCCCATTTATTGATTAGATTATTTGTTTTCGTATACAACCAGAGATATGAAAAATTGTCCTCTATATTTGTGATAAGAATTGTAATGCATTCCACTGTCAAAAATAAATAAAAAATTAAAAAAATATTTAAAAGATTAAAAATATTTATCTTTTTCTATGCTTTAGACCCTAGAAGCCAGCATTCACACTCCTGTCTCCATAGCTCTTCCTTTTCCAGTGTTTCATTATCTGGAATTATGCAGTGTATGTATGGCTTTTCAGATTGGCTTTTTTTTCAGTTGATAAGATAGACTTAAAGGCCTGAATATCACTCCATTGTGTAAACGTTCTACAGTTTGTTTATCCACTCACTTACTAAAGGAAAATTTGGTTGGTCTCAAGTATGAGTAATTATGAATAAAACTGCCATAAACATCTTTGTGCAGATTTTTGCATGGATATACTTTTCAGTGCTCTGGGGAATACCACAAGTGGGTTGTATGGTAAGAGTAGATTTACTTTTGTAAGAAATGAGCTGACTGTCCTTCAAACTGGCTGTACTGTTTTCTAGTCCCACCAGCAATAAATGTTGAGAGTTCCAGTTGCTTCACAATCTCAGAAAAAGAAAATGAGTTAACTGAAAAGTTTGTATGTTTGAATCAAATACAACAAAACATATCATTAATGAGGTTAAAGAGGAAGGAGGAGAATTATGCTTCAGGTTTCCTGGTCCCTTCCAGATAAATGCAAGATATCTTAAACTGGTGGAAAATGATCCTTCCTATTTCCTCTTTGCCCTTTCTTTCAACCCACATGCCCATCAATGGATGAATTGATTAAGAAATTTGTGGTTAATATATACAGTGGAGTTCACTCAGTCATACAAAGGATTGAAATTATGGCATTTGCAGGTAAATGGATGGAAATGGAAACTATCATGCTAAGTAAAATAAGCCAAATTCAGAAACTCAAAAGTTATATGTGGACGCTAGCATAAAATAAAGGGGGAAAGAAGGATAGGGTAATATAAAGAAACAATCAAATACAGATTAATAAATGAGAAAAAGAAAGTCAATTAGAATAGAGGAAACATGGGAGAGGGGAAGGAGGATGGAAAGGAAAAGTGTGGAGGAAAAGGGAAAGGATAAATGGGGATCATGAACAGAAATTGATTTACATGCATGTATGAGTTGTACAGATGAACCCAACTAGTAGGTATAATTATAAAGCTAGAAAAATAGAAAACAAGGAAGGAAGGAATGGGGGAAGGAAGGATGAAAAAGCAGAGGTAAGGAGGTATGGCAAAACAAATATGGAGAATCTAGCAGACATAAAATTCAGTTACAATTTCAACATATTCTATGTAATTGGGGGCAAGTTAGTTTACCTCCTTAATACCTAGCAAGTTACTTTACTATCAGATTCTTAATTGTAAAATGAGATTAATAATATCTTGGAAAGCAGATACGAATATGGATTAATTTAGCAAAGGTAAGGTGTTGGTCTTTTATTGGTAAATAGAATATAATACATAAAATTGGCTTTAAAAATCTATCATAGATGAAACTCAATAGGAATAACATTATTTTTACTCTATTTTCATTTAGCATAAGAATTCCAGAAAGTAATTTTAAAAGTAACTCATGGTGTTACAGTTGGTGTGAACAAAAAAAGGATCTTTGATACTGACATTTAGATTCTATTCCTGATCTGAGAAATTTAATTTAAGAGATTATAGTCATCATTAAAACTCTGTTAACCCATAATTTAGCAGTTTTCAAAAAAGGAATTAATTGCATTCTCAAGTGAATTTTTTAGTGTACTCTTAAACATTTTCAAAAAGAAGCAATCCTGCAATAATTACCACCAATATCCAAATACAAAATAGCCTTGGAGAGCTTAGTTTATTAAAAGATGCTATTTGATGTCAAGGTTTTTCATAACCCTGTCTTAAGCTTCCCATTTAAAATTTTCTAAATAACCATAATAATTATCTAGAAACCAAGAATTTAGGAAAATTCTATTTCTGTCACAATTTACTGAATATCAATTGGCTAAAATTAATTATAACTCCATTAACTCTTCTGTATTTATTTGCAGTGTTCAACATGCAAGCCATTTAATAAGCTATTTATTTAAAACATTATTCAGAGCATGTGGTAAAAGGCTGAACAATACAACTAATGTTGCTGAGTGAAGGCCTGGATGGGAGGAAGCCATGCAATTAAGGAAGGCCTGCCATCTGGCCAGGTTGTGCTTCACAGGGTGGCATTAACTTGATGAAACCATTAGATCAAATCCTGTTCTCACCAAACAACACCCAGAAACATGGATTAATACAAACAAAACTACAAACAACTACCACAAACCAAAGCAAAACAATCAAGTGATTAAACAGAAAGTAAACCTAAAACGGATCATTGGCACTTTGAACATTTCCTTCCAGTGTGAGTTATTTGCAGCTACTTTTCCAAATACACGTTCTAGGAATATAACATTTGTAA